AAGGAGTAATACAGGATACATATTCAAATATAAAAAGTATCTAGGATTTTACTACTTCGTCAAAATATTTTATGATATTTTATGACAGTTTTGATCAATTTTGATCCTAGTTCTTGCTACCGCTAAACAAAGATCTAGGATTAGGGGTCACGTCAGAACGCATTCGTGACCAACTCGTGTTATTCCGGGACAAGCCGAATAGCGACTCGTGTCCCTCTCATGGCCATTTTTGCGACCGGGTTCCGTCTTAGCGCAAACGGACATACCTAAAACAATTGTCAACTCGTTGCGTAATGGTTCACATATATTTCCCCATATATTATATATATTTCAGAAGTAATTTAAAGCACATCTGGACGTGCGGAATTATACAGTATGATTGAACACATTTAACTGTGTCTTTGGTATATTTTTAGAAGCAAGACATATGCAAAATCAAAAATTATTTCTGAAGGATACTTTGACGAAGAACTTGAAATCATACGCGCATTCTGATTGGTTTGTCGTATTTTCGCACATACCATTCATCGATAGGGGGACGAGTCTTCTTGCAGGTTACGGAAAGGGGCGAGTGGTGACGAATGGTCAGAACGACCTTTCATTCGACCAATCAGAGCGTCATTTACCAGATCATGAAAGTGACAGACGGAATCATGCAACCTCGAAAACCCTTAACATGGGCTATTCCGAACGAAAGTTGAGGACTTAACGACTGAATCCATACAATCTAGACCATCTATTAGCCATTCCAGAATGTTCTTTTGTTTAGGTTTCAAATTTGTAATCGAGAATTTGTCAAAATATCGTCGCCAATTTGAAATTAGTCCCGTAAAGCACGAGAAGGCTGCCTTCTGATTGGCTTATGTCGAATTCTTGTCAGTCATTCCATTGGTCGGTCAAAGTTCGCGCAAGGTCGGTCTGACGCGACCCGAAATGGGTGTCGTCAGATCTTTGTTCTGCGGTAGCGAGAACTAAGATCTGATTTTAATGAGATTGGAACCTAGATCAATCACTTGCTTTTCTGGTCCAGTTATTTACAGGATGCCGTCGCACAGAGAGATTTTTGCAGAATGCTGCATTAAACAACAATCAAAACATAACACTTATAGTTAGCATATGGCTTTGAAGTATAAATGACATTTTATCCATTTATCTGCATAAAGGATAAAACAAATTATTAGAGTTTATAGTGAGTGAGAAGTGAGTTGGATTTAACACCGCTTTCAACAGTATTCCAGTTACATCATGGAATGCTGGAGGAAAGCCCGAACTGATGCAGGTCTCAGACATTTACCACTTTGTTGAAACCCATGAACACAGGTATGGTGCAGACAAACCTAGAAACATAATCGTGGACAAACCGGGATTCGAACCCACAATCGTGGGTTTCTGGAGTTTAGTGACTCCAAATTACATATAAGCTCGACTGTATATCAATATCAGCAGTAGGCCAAGTGCTTCATGTGGCCTACCTTTAATTTACAGTGTCAACATTTATAAAGGTAAGACAATAAAGAAATATTCTTATCTGAAAATTGTCATCACATTCGTGACTGTTTCGACAACGTGTTTTTCTTAGTCTTAGTAACAAACAGAAAAGTTCACATTTTCCAGTGGACTGCCTTCATCGTCAAACAGCGGAGTCAGTGCACAAATCTTTTGATGAAGAAAATCTTGTCTTGCGCTTGTTCATATACAAGTCTTCTTTGTAACAAAAAAAAAAGAAAGTACAGTATTCTGTTTCACAGTAAATCATGAAATCATCGGAAACTACCATACAGAATATACCTTACAATACCTTACAAAATTGTTAACTCTGATTATAATATCCCCAAGCAACCTATACCCACGGTATATTCACACCACATCACTTCTGGAGCCCCAACGTAAAAGTTGCATTGGTTGATGAATTGAATGTTTTCCTGCTAAAACTCAGTAGTGGGACGGTAAAGGCTGGATTTTGTCCAAATTGTACTCTTTGAGTTACTAGCACCAAACTTGGCACAACTAGTAACTTATACAGGATTAATTGCAACAATGCTGTATATAATTCAGATTTAGTATGCAACGCCCACTGGTTACACATGATGAAATCCAAGATGGACACCAAAATCAAAATCAGTTCATGCAGTCTAATAGATTTCCCAGATATGACTCACAGAATACAGACCTAGCTTCAAATGAATGAAGTTTAGTATCAGAAACTAATATATTCAGTAAAACATGACTTGGAATTGTTTTAAAGGCAAAACAAATTGAATAATTGAAATGAACAAATTATACTAATATTGTGAACAAACACAAGTCCAGTTACCACCTTTGCCGAACTAGGCTGGAATTCTGGAGTTACATTCTAGCTGGACTAACGAGTCCATGCATAGTCCAATCAAAATCGCGTAACTAACTATAGACATCCGGTTCGTAAACAACATCAATTTCAAGTACAGATTTCGGTCGACTGCAGAGTTTGCAAAGCATGTGCACAGCCAACTGGACGTCGTCAAATATTTTGTTTCAAGTTTTTTAATCCAGATGCTCAAGTGATTTGATGTACTTCGCGGGGTAAGACACGTTTTATTACAATATTGATCTTGATTATGGATCACATCGTCTTGACTGGGCGTCGCCATGTTGTTTGAAGCAAATTCAAGTCATACGAGAGATGGAATCTGGTTGTTCAATGGGAGGGATACAGAAGGGATATAACTCATTAGTGGCGCTGTGATCGACCCTGGAAATTCCTGCCTATTTCGGCAAGGGTGGAAACTGGACTTTTAAAGTCAGTTAACTAGTCAGAAGCTGGTGTTCACCAAAGTCGACTGCTCATCCCAAGTTTCACCCCCTGGTCCCTTGTTCCTTGAACAAGAACTTTGCATATTGTACCTGGAGGGTCCAATTAAAAAAAACCAGATTTCCCAAAGAATACCGCATCACTTGTCAGATTAATGTTCCCAGATATGTCGTGTGATGGAGTAGTAATGTTACAGCGGTATAACGTCTATGTAATAACGACGAGTACTTGTTTTGGGGTTCATGGGATTTATTCCGTCTGTTCATATCAGGGATATGGAGATCCCACCATGCACAATATGGCTATGGATGATAATTCCCTAAACCATAATATAATAAGATTGAGTTAGTAACATACAATTACAAGCATCTATAACATGTATAATTAAACAAACATATTACATTTACTTGTTATCATGAACATAAATTTAAGCATAAATTATCAGAACAACCATCAGCTGTATATATATTACAGCTACAAATCCAATTTATATGATACAATACTCATCAAAATATAACAATATATACATACAACTATAAGCACATAAATCTCTCTCTCTCTCTCTCTCTCTCTCTCTCTATCTCTCTCTCTCTCTCTCTCACACACACACACACACACACACACAGTAATATAAACCTAATATGCACTAAATCAGTACATATTTACTAACACTTTCAAAGAACTATGTACATAATCGTCAACCAACTCATGCATACAAGACTTAGTGTACTAAAATACTGTACAATATATTATTACATTTATAGCTGTCAGCTATAAATTATTGCTAATGATAAATCCATTCTAATAGATCAAGCTATAAACTATATAAATTACCGAGAGCACCTTATAACAATATGGTTGCTTAAATTAACACTAATTACACTATATTCTAATTTGTTACTCTAGCAATGACTTAGTGTCACAATACACACTAATGTATCATGACTTTGAAGAACAAGTAATAAATATATTTACAACATTGCATATCACGTGGATCAGACTGAAAATTATACTATATAAGAAATATGCAATTAAAATTATAAACGTGTACTCAACAAGACTAAAATATCAGATCCTAACCTCCTAATGATGAATATAAATACTAAAGAAGTCTAAAATAACTTACCCCAATCACTGGCCAAGCTGTGGCTGGACCAGATCACTAAAGACCTTACATAACTATACCCCGTACTTTACCTGAGGATTAGTAGAGAGCGCTCAGGTTAGTTTAAGGCGCTATTACCATACTTAACTCAATTATTTACCTAAGTTTAAAATACGTTAGTTAAAATACTTACTATTTTACATTCTGCTACATTAACACACAAAACGAAACGGACATGCTCTGCTATGTCACTAAATCCGACCCATGAACAAGTGAATGACCTGGTAAAAGGAGTTGGAGGTGCAGCTGGATTGACCGAAACTGTCAAGAGAAGACTTCCAGATGCCCTCGGGAATCAAAGACATAGTCACTGTTTCATACCTTAGCGGGTTCATTTGCTTGGGACACGTGTCAAGTATTTCCTGAAGTCATCAATGTATTCCCGTCATCGACAGATACCTCTGACAACACAATGCAGCTTCTTGTGTGGGTTGGCGTTCTCATGTATGACAGAACTGGTTGATTTTTGAAGGTTCATATGAAGCAAGGCAAAATATCTTTTCATAAAGATCTCAGACAATTGAAAATATTCCACCCATACAGGCAGCTCTAAAACAGCACACACTGCGTGCAAACTATGATCGATGGGAAACATGTGCTTGATAACGCCCCACACTACTGCATCCTGCAGACAGCGAGTGAGTGAGTATGGTTTTACGCTGCTTTTAGCAATATATTCCAGCAATATCACGACGGGGGAAACAGAAATGAGCTTCACACATATTGTACTCATGTCGGGAATCGAACCCGGGTCTTCTGCGTGACGAGCGAATGCTTTAACCACTTGGCGACCCGCCGGTGCTCGATATTTCTTTTCGCATCTTTCACAAACATTACCTAAACATTGCAAGTTTTCCTGGAATGTGCGCATTAATATATATTACGTCAGAAGGTATTTTTTTAAGTGACGTGTCCGTCGGATAGTGACAACAGTCAATATAGTTGCATCTGAAACCTCTTTCGTATACAGTTACGTAACTGTATATTGGCATAGATCTAGCAATAATTGCCCCTACACAAATTGTTTAAATTGTTTCTACTTACCCGAACCAATCCATCGGTCTGTCCGCTTGAGTAACTGTACGTCCTTTATCCAAGGGAAGCTACTCGATCTAACCCTATGGTCAATGAGACGTCACGTTTGTTGTGTTTGAGTCTGCATGCTTGTCCTTTCATAACGTTACGAAGTGCAGCCAGATGTACAGACGAGTTCCGGAACACTTAGATATGATCGAGAAAGATTACAGTAAAACATCAAACATATCAAATAAAGTTCATCTCGTGATACACGTAGTGTACAGTTTCCAAATGTGTAGCCTAGCTAGTTCATTTAGCCTATATATATGCATGGGCGGATACAGAGGGGTGGGGGGGGGGGGGGGGGGGGCACACAAACCCTTTTTTTATTTCGAAAAAAATCTTTATTTCTGTATAAATTACCACCAAAGACAATAAATAGATCTTAGTTGTGCACCCCCCCCCCCCCCCCCCCCCCCCCCTTTTCAAAAAAGCTGTAGGCCTATATCCGCCTCTGATATGTATAACTATACATATTTGTTTATTTATTTAAGTATTTATAAGTGTAATACTTAGATCAACCTAGATCTAGATCTATATCATTATTTTAAAGACATAGATCTTAAATCTAAACAACATTAACAGAGGGTATACGTGCATGATTCTGGGCTTGAAAACATGATCCCGATTTTGCATGTTATTAATTATAGCTAAAATGGATAGAATTATCATTAAACCGCCCGCACGTTATCAGAAATGAGCGGGCCACTGTAACTTGATAATGCCCTCATATTGCTTGACGACGGGCCATTGTCAAGCCCGTTGTGAGGTGACGTCATAGGGTAGAGAAAGTGACGTCACGTATTATAGTGACGTCATCTGGTTTGTTCTATGACGTTTCCATGTTTGTAAAATGGGGTCAGTGACATTCGTGTTGATTGCAGTAAATGTTTCAAAACCGATATTGTTGTTTCTTTTTATTAGATAACAAATTCCATCCATTTTAGCTATAATAACGGTAACGCTATTTTTCAGGGCATTATCATATGCAGAAGCCCTCGGTCTTTTCAACTGCCCTCCTTCGTCGGGCAGTTAATGGAAGTCCTCAGGCTTCTGCAAATGATAATGCCCTGAAAAATAGCGTTATCCTTATATTATGAAGTATCCAGCAAAACGTTTATAAGAAATGTTTTGTTTGTTGGTTTGTTTGCATTCAGCAATATTCCAGCTATGACGGTCTGTAAATAATCGAGTCTGGACCATGAGCATTGATCCACGTAACTGGGATCCGATATGACATGCATCAACCAAGTCAGCGAGCCTTATCACCCGATCCCGGGCCGTTAGTCGCCTCTTACGACAATCATGGGCCGCTGATGGACGGATACCACGGATCTTTACGGGTCAATAAGAAATGTAAAGGAAACTTGCCTGGTGCCTCAAACGGTGCAAATACCACAACTGTAATCACTGAGTGTACGTCGTTTATCAAATGAGTGAAGTCCGGGTACTGATGCGAGATGATGGCTGCCACAACGATAACATGCTAAAGTTCCAGCGTGCTATCGAAGTCCCCGTAGCGCAGGGGATAGCGCGCTGGACTTCTAATCCAGAGGTCGCGGGTTCGAATCCCGCCGGGGATGCATTTTTTTAAATATTTTTTTATTGTTATACACATTTGATATCTCGGGGGAAATGTCCTCGTGGCGTTGCCGGCACCAGCAAGGGTTAAGACTAGGTTCATTGACACGGGACTTGGAACTCCCGATAATCTCGTGATTTGTTTGAATTAATTGTATTTTTGATTTATGCATTTTATGTAGTTGTACTCTTCCTGAAAAACTTGTTTATATCATAAAGCGTATTTCTTCTAAAGTATTTCTACATGCCTCTTTTATGTCATAAAACGGTATGTTTTCACGGCTCATCGCATTCAAGCCTTATATCCATCGATTTGGCGCTGGCAGTACCAATAGCAGAATCCTTCGAATAATGAGTTCGGCTTTGCCGGGACTGTCTGACATTCAAGTGGTGTTCCCGGCCCAAAAACGGCTTGTCATGTTTACAAAGTGGTAAATGTGACAAGACGGGTTGTATCTGCAACACAGCTTGGTCGGAGAATGGATTGTCGTGATAAGGGTGTTATCTGACCTTCAGTATACAAACAGTATTCCCGGAGATGGGAATGACATCACTGACCTATATAAGTGATGACATCAAGGGCAGTTTTCTCCTGGGCATACTGTAAGACCTGGGGTGGGGTGGGGTCTTGGGTCTTTGGCTTGGGTCTCTTGTATTATCAGATGAAGAGCGTAAACAATACCGAAACTGTGTTTGGGATCTGTCACAAGTGATAACGTTAGCCCAGCTGCCTGAGAATCCGCAGTCGGAACCCATTGTGGCAGCAATATATATTGCTTGATTTTTCTAGCAGACGACAATTTCATTAACAGCTTTTAAATAAGTATAAGGTAGCAAATACGAAAGAATTTGAATTCTTTATTTTCACAAACGTTCAATGAAGTTATTCATGCAGTAGTGGCATATAGCTATGAAGTGTACTGTATCTGAAGGTAATCTACTTTACATGTAATCATGGCCACGTATTACGATCTATATTTAGAGTCCATGATATAATGAAGATAAACATTGGTATTTTGTGATATATTTATAACAATAATAAGCTAGAAAACGTATTTTGTTGCTGTCTTCAGTGTTTATGATGATAGGAAATAATGAGCTATTTAATAAAACCAGGTATATATACTCTTCAAAAAAAGAAACGCAAAGCCAGATTTGTGTGAGGTTGGAAAATACATTTATACGAGGAACCGTACACTGTTCGATTGACGCAGATGCCAGGTAATCAAAAACCCTGCACTTTAATACCGTTCATATAGTGCTGCTGCATGTGCAGTACATGCAGGTCCATGGCCCTATTGTTAAGGCACTGGCTGCATTTTTCCGAATCGTAGGTGTTTCCCAACTTATGTCCTTGTTGTGATCATTTTGATCCCAGAAATTTGTCACTGACGCTATAACACGTTAAGCATCTTCATTTTGCACCTCCAGGACCGCCAATTTTGCTTTTGGGTCAAAGCTATCCGTATATAATATCAAACAATTTCAAGTAACGTGTGTGAATTATCCGTTAATTGATGAATTAACGGATCAAGTGATTTTGGCACGAGGAGCTTTCGGACAAGTGCGATTTTGCCTAAACACATTGCTACTGGGCAATGAAAACGTGTGTCTGACACTGATGAACACAATTTAGTGCAACCATATTGACTTGATGCAGAGATAGAAACAATTGCACCTATTTTTCATATATTTGTATATTTCAAATATTCTGCCAATAAATCCAAGTCAAGCAAATGAGGTAACTGTCATTTCACATTTTCCGCTATCCATTTGGACCAATCTGTTTTAAGATTACTGGTCAAGAAATGTTAATGTTTATTGGCTATTGTTCTATGAATCAGTGTAATTTGTATGCTGGACCCTAAAACAGCGATGCAAAAACAAGACATGTTGATATTTCAACAAAGAATTCATTTCACAAAGCAACAACTGCTATGCCATTGGTTAAGTTAAATTTTCATTGGTAAGCATCTGTTGTATTTTCTTGGAAAATTTTGACCCGTAAACTGGAAATTCATTATCACACATTCCATGTACATTGTTATGATATTATATTCAATATCAATTCAGTATCATGGCTGATACCAGAAATATTAAAAAAACTTCTTTTGTATGGCATTATCTCAGACAAAAAACAATAAATAAGCTTCAGATCTATTCAGTAATTTTATTCCAAGGTCATGAGTATTAAACATTCATGGCAAATATTCCCAAATGCCAAGCCTGAACAAATAAATGTGCCAGCATGCACTGTTACTGGTGTCAGTATCTAGATTCACACTGGACGTTATGAGAGAGTCCCAAGATGTTCTGCAACACCATGTTGATGACAAGTAGGTCCTGTTCCAGCAAGTGTCCAGTGTATATGGTGTATTCTGATGGTCACAGACATCATTTACAGAACCAGTACTTCAGCAAAATGTTCAGATAGAACTTTAATATGTTTACACCTGTATACACAACAAGAATTGTTCTTTCATAGGCAATGTAATGCTTGACCACAAAATATTCCAAGAAATCTGAAGATATGTTATAGTCCGAGATGCTCTTGAGGTGCAGTTATGCTTGGCATCAAGGGAATTCTGGTGATCCATATGCATGTACTCGTGAGTAAGATGAGGAAATCTTTCTCCCCTCAAACATGGAAATATGGTCCAACTGCAAAAGATAAATAACACTTATGAGATCATATAATATATACTTCTAAAATACCAACCATTTCTTACAATGCCTACATCAAGATATAATTAATAAATTAAGCATGTACATTCTACCTTCAACTGAATATAAACAAATGCTAAATGGGGTTGTAATGATCAAGTCTATTCACATCATACAGAATACATTTAAGTGAGGTCACTTTTCAGAGATCTTAAAAACAAACACCGCAAGGATTTAATCATCATTATTTACAAATTAGATTAATATTTTTTGGTGTGAATCAAAGCTGATTTTACAGTGCACATAACATTATCATCGTGATATTGGCACATATCCTTATTTATTAACACAGGCACCCCCATAAGTCTACTTGCACAACATTAAGTATTGACAAATTTTTTGTGTCATCTCCCCTGGATCTACAAATATAATTCTGTGACGTTCCCTATCAGAGCTGAACATTTATTATTGGAAAAGGCTCAGGATAGATGTAATGGAAATTTGCCATAACATTGGATGGTGCATCGAACCGATGAATTTTGTCCATTCTCATGATGGCAGTAGCGCATTAATATACATAACACCACTGTCATAAGTGACGTCATCCTATGTGCTGCTTACTTCTCATAAATAATGTGACCCTACACAAAAGGTTTCCGTCATATCTGTGGATTATCAAGGTGATGGTGAAAATGCAAACTAGACAAAAACAAAGAACACGCTGGGTGCTAAGTTGAAAGTTTACGCCTCAAAGAAATTACCAAATATGTACAACAATGTTTACTTCCGTATGACATCACTACCGGTGACCAACTTTTACAAAATGGCGTGTTCACTGACAACAGTACGCGGGATTTCCAGAAGAGGATTTTCGTTGATTGAGGGATCGTTTTCCAACGTAACAAAGACAATTAGTCAGAAATGCAGATAACTACCGTCATCGTTGTGCGTGATTTAGCGTCAGTCATGGCGTCACACAGGACGGAAACTTTTACGGCTTCTGTTGAATTTACCACATAATTGTAATGTATATATGTGTATTTCCATAATTAGTGCAACGATACTCTTCCAATGAATATTCTCAAACGCGTGATCGAGCCAATGTATGCAACAATTAGACGAAAGTACCTAAAAGTGCTACACAGTGTAAAATCTGAATTTTGCTTTGTTTACATTTCAGCAAGTACAGTTTTCCGAGCACAGTTTTCGTTTCCATACCTAATTTTTTTCGCATAATTTCATCTAGATAATTTGCATTGGCGACAAAGACCATTTATCCATTGTTTCGAAAATGTATGAGGAATTCAGGGATGCATGTATAGCAGCTGAGTTTGAAATATACCTGATCGAATAGGCGACTCATAACCGGCATTTTGTAAACACAATCCAATCCAATATGTCGGAACGTACACTTCGGCGTTCGTGTATGCGTATTTTCCAAAATATTCTAAACGATTCTCGGCTTATCAGCGACGTTTCAGAATTATCATTAGTGATTTGATACCCGTGATCGTTAATATGCTATTTTTCTACTTTAATTATTCGAGTAAATATCCGATATTTAGATTTCTAAACACACAATAAGTATTAATATAACGCCGTGAATTGTGATTTGGCGAGGTTAACAATGTATCTAATTTTCAGAAGTCACTTTCAGAAATTTGGAATTGCCTAAAATGACAGTAAATGATGATTTTCAGAACTTTGACTGTGGCCTGAATATCAGAATATACGGTAACGTCACTATCCCCAAACCAGCATTTTCCAATGCGTGACTGCTTTGCTAAGAATGTCCAATGTTCTTCTCTTTGTCGATGATAACCTTGGCCTATGGAGATTGGGTCGTTCAAACTATGGAACATATGTGGAGAAAAATAGTTTGTTTTTGACATATTACTTTCTTGACGATGTCGTCCATTTCAGTGGGTCTTTCCAATGGATCCCTACCGGTAAGAGATACATACAAAACCTCCGGTAAAATGACAACAGCCCGACCAGCTACTGAGGTAGTGGTCCGGTCCAATGGTATCCGACGGATGACGATTCCAGGTCAGGGTTAACATTTACCACATGGAACGTTAACGGACTGAAAAATACACTGGATGACATAGATTTGATAAGTTTTTTGTATGAAATGTGACGTTATAGGATTTGTGGTAATTTGAGAGTAATGTCAAAATGGAGGATGTACTTCCTCATTGATGCATTACGGTGTTTATCACTCAAAGGGTTAATAACAGAGGCAGTGTGGTGGGTTAATCATAAAAGTAAGAAACCAAATTCTGAAAATTTGAAATAAATTTTCTGATTGTATTTTTATACTTTTTTATAAAACCATTTTATGGTTTATAACATTACACTTTGTTTGGGTGTGTCTTTATATATCCAACTAACTCGTCAGTCAAGAGTGATTCCAGACTGTTGAAAGGAACAGACTATTTAGAACATTGTTTTATATCTTGCATCTCAGATATTGAACATTCCAACACCCAATATTTTGGAATTACCTGCTTTTAAAGGGGATTACATATTAATCTTGATTCAAAATTATACAAAACTTTCGTTTTACTTAATAGCGAGAGACTTAGAAGCACTGAAAAATGGATGTATGGAAATGTTCATGTAAACATATCTACATATTATAATATTTTGGGTTGCTGTTCTCAAATACATTCACGGACGACTTTATGTTAATTAAGAATTGGTGAATTGCCTTTAATGTGTTGGAAGACGATGTGGCATTGTTCCCTGTAATTGTGTTTGCTAGGAGAAATGGAAGATGAGTACCATTTTAAATTCGTATGCCGATATTTCACTGCCTTAATGTCAGTATGTTATTATCTTTGAATAGAAAGCATATTTTTATATATCGCCGAGTACCCTATTTTCGAACAGCAGTGTTTGATATTTATTTGTCGCATTATAGGGAGAGGTGTGACGTCATCAAAGCTGCCGACTTGAGAATGCATGCGTTGAAGCCTGTCAACAAATTGTGAGATTCAACATACTCAATAATATCAACAAACGAAACGTTTTTTGGCATAAATTCTTATATGTCTGAATGTTTTGGTGTTTTTTCATAGATTAATTCTTGTGTCGTTAACACGCTGCGAACATGTATAAACACCGACCTTTGAACACAATCATCAATGCATCCCTTGCAAACCACAACAACACAGGTATTATCAGCACGGGCAATAGTTCCTGTCAGTCGGGCCTTTGACTCTTTGCAAATTTATAAAACTGTCCATGTTTGGTCCAGGAAAGGCGGAAGTATCAAGCGCCTATCGATTTCTCGGTTATCTACTGACGAAGATAAATAGAAATGTCCCCAGAAATACACTCGGAGAACAGTTATTCCTAATAGTAAGCATTCTGTCACACATGTAGTATGACGTCATGCATTTTGTGTAATAGTTCCTATAATATCATGTTATATTGTTACATGTCATACCATGGATACCTTTCAATGCCCTCGCTACTATACACGGTTGTATCAGACGGTAATGTGAATGCAAAATCTTCTTGCGCCTCACAGACTGCTTGGGTCGTGTACTCCCCAGGGAGTTGAGTAGGTAATTGGCATGCTCACTGATGCACTGTTTAATAGAGGAGAACTGTAGAACATAAACAGTTTTAGAGTGCGGATAGGGCGTAATATAAATATGCATACTTCTGTTCAATACGTTTGCTATTTCTTTTCAGTGACATTGCTACTTCTATTCATTGGTATTGCTGCTTCTGCTCGGTGCCATTTCCCCTTCTCTCCAACGCCTTTGCTTTTTCACTTCTATTCAAAGCCTCTTCCACTTCTGTTCAAAGCCTCTTCCACTTCTGTTCAAAGCCTTTTCCCCTTCTATTTAACGTCTTTGCTACTTCTATTCAACTCCTTTTCCACTTCTATTTAACGTCTTTGCGACTTCTATTCAACTCCTTTTCCACTTCTATTTAACGTCTTTGCTACTTCTATTCAACTCCTTTTCCACTTCTATTTAACGTCTTTGCTACTTCTATTCAACTCCTTTTCCACTTCTATTTAACGTCTTTGCTACTTCTATTCAACTCCTTTTCCACTTCTATTTAACGTCTTTGCTACTTCTATTCAACTCCTTTTCCACTTCTATTTAACGTCTTTGCTACTTCTATTCAACTCCTTTTCCACTTCTATTCACCGTCTTTGCTACTTCTATTCAACTCCTTTTCCACTTCTATCTACTTCTATTCAATGTCTTTGCTACTTCTATTTAACGTCTTTGCTACTTCTATTCAACTCCTTTTCCACTTCTATTTAACGTCTTTGCTACTTCTATTCAACTCCTTTTCCACTTCTATTCACCGTCTTTGCTACTTCTATTCAACTCCTTTTCCACTTCTATTTAACGTCTTTGCAACTTCTATTCAATGTCTTTGCTACTTCTATTTAACGTCTTTGCTACTTCTATTCAATGTCTTTGCTACTTCTATTTAACGTCTTTGCTACTTCTATTCAACTCCTTTTCCACTTCTATTTAACGTCTTTGCTACTTCTATTCAACTCCTTTTCCACTTCTATTCACCGTCTTTGCTACTTCTATTCAACTCCTTTTCCACTTCTATTTAACGTCTGTGCTACTTCTATTCAATGTCTTTGCTACTTCTATTTAACGTCTTTGCTACTTCTATTCAACTCCTTTTCCACTTCTATTTAACGTCTTTGCTACTTCTATTCAACTCCTTTTCCACTTCTATTCACCGTCTTTGCTACTTCTATTCAATGTCTTTGCTACTTCTATTCAACTTCTTTCTACTTCTATTCAACGCCTTTTCCACTTTTGTTTCTTCTATTTTTACTGTACATTTACGTAACGTAATTATGTTTGTCCACGCTACTGATATTTAGTACTCAACCATACATACCTTCAGGTGTAATGAGGAGTTGATGTGTCCAGCGGACATCAAAATATATCATCATGCACCACGATTCTTGGGAGAAGGTCCCCTAAGGTGAAGAACGTGTGCCCAATCCAATTCACTCTTTGTGAATAAAATATGTTTAAACTAAACCATCGTTTGTGAAATGTTATCCTCATAATTATCAGATAGTTGTGATAGACACGCTCAGTTTACAGACATGACATAAGATGAAACACACCATCTAAAAACAGTTAATTAACATAATTTGAAGCCAAGACAAACAATCACTGCATGAAGTAACTTACATGTTTACAGCCACATACGTGACCTCTTCATTCATGACGTCACAACATAGATCCAATCAAAACTACCCACACCGTGTCCTCACAAAAGTAGGTTAAACGTATCCGGTCGGTTTCCTTGAAACGTCTTTCATGACGACTCCGGCACATCACCTCCCGCTTCGTTGAGTAGTCTACAGTGACGGGGCGGACTTTCAACTAGTTGCTGTCAAAATTGTGGTGTGAAAATTATTTTCGCTGTGGAATTTCTTAATATTTACTTAAGAGGATTTCGGAATTATCTTCTCTGTGGATGAATGTGGATGGACAACTAACAATAATGATCACAGTAAGTACATCAATAAGTCTGCACCCATGCCGACATGCTAGAAATCATAAAAAGACAATGTATAAGCTGTATAGAATATATAGAGAAACGTATTACAGTGACCGCATTCCATTGTATATAGCGAAAAGGTTCAGCTTGAGATTTCACACGTGTGACGAGGTCAGGATGCTGATAAACACACCAATTGCAACAGGCGAATCTTGAATGAAATGGACGAATTAAGTTGTAAGTCATGTGCAGACCCAAATGCACATAGAGCCAGCACTCAACACATGACATATTCATCTGTTATTGCGAGATGATAGTAACACTAGTATCATGTAACAGTGGGTGCATGTGTTTACGGGAGAGGGGTGTACACGGTTACCAGTAAGAAAGGAGTGTAAAAAAAGTAGAGTAAATCGACACGGACGCACTGACACAATAAACAGCTCACTTGAGATGGGAATACCGAAGGAGACTCCTCATTATAGCCGACATTGGAGTGAGAGAGTGAGTGAGTATGGCTTTACGCCGCTTTGAGCAATATTCCAACACTATATCACGGCGGGGGACATCAGAAATGGGCTTCACACGCCGACATTGGATTTCATGTGAGATAAAAACATCTAAATGTCATAACGGAGAGTATAAAGATGAAAAAGCGCTACTGATTGTATTTATGTGGCGTAGGCTGATATACCATAATTGCTCCTTTGCTATTCTGGCATGACAACCTGCAGTTTTACGGTCACCACGATTTCCTTATCATCGATGTTATCAATATTTTTTCGCGAGAATTTCGTCTCATAAAATTTACTCCAACCTTTCCCCCGCGACATATGAGGCACTGGTTTGCTACAACTGTATATATACTGAACCGCAAAAGAAACGTCACTCCAAGTAACATTGCATGAAAAGTTGTTATTGAAATGTATATGTTTATATGAATAAAGAGATGTTGATTTAGATGTCTTGATAACCTAACGTCGACGTTTCCATCAATAATACACAACGGCGAGATAGCACAGGAAAGACGCGAACGGGTTGGGCAAGTTGAAACACATGTTTCATTTGATATTATAAATCCTTATTTCTCACATCAGTTAAAAGACAGTATTTGTAAAACAAGCTAAATATTGGAGATTAGAAGATGGCATGTAGAAACCTCGGTGAACGATGGCAATGCTTTAATTAACACCCTTCTCTGAGAGAGAGAGAGTAATGTTTATTATAATGTCACATGTTATATACACTTCATACTAAAACACGTACACAAACAATAAAATATGACATCCGACCAGGTATGGCCTACGAGACACTAGACATAAAAGCAAATGTATAACGTCATGATCTGGATAAGGTAAATTAAGACATATACTAACACAATGTTTAAAGTTAAGATTGGTTGAGGAACACGCACGCACACACAACGTCGTGGCGTCCTGGTGGCCGGGGATAACACGGACAATAACATGAATAGACATCACCTGAAGGGAAAACTCACAGAATCAGTTATGTAACAATTAAATAGTATTAGGAGCTCAGTGAATGTGTTGTGATTTTATCCCGGGCAAGTCATCACACACCCAATGACGATACATCTCATTGCCCTGCCTTTTCATATACATTTCCGACTATATTTATTTTTCATTCATGCCTCCTAACAGATAACGAGAAATCCTACGCGGTTGAAATAATCACCAGGGTTTGAGTTTCTAGTGGCTCTTCAGGTGACTGCAACACACATGGGTGTGACTGAGATATCTCTTCTTCCTGTATGGTTGTATATTGGTAGCAAAATAATGGATGTGTCTTTGTCACTGCTTTCTGATACTGACGTCCGCCACTGTTGACATACTTCCTTTGCGGAGTAAGACATTTGACCCCCCATACAAACACAATCTCCACACGGCTAATACCAGGAAGTATGCCGCGGTTTTATCCTACCCAACGTATTCTTGTCACAATACCAGCCAAATGCCCCCATTGTACACGTGACACCGCTGAAATTGTTATGTCAGAGAAACAACATATACTAACTATGCTTTATAAAAATTTCAATAAATAAATATTCTGAATTAAATAATACATCTTCCAATACATATTCATGAAGACATCTCGAATTTAAGGTCGTGAATCACAATTTTCTCGGGCATGAGTTAGGCACGCTCAGTTGGACCAATCTTTGGTTTGCACTTGGAGCAATATCTCCCAGGCTGTTTTCAATCACCTGGTGTCTTTAATACGCCGCCGCTGTCTCGCCTGATAGTGACATTGTAAATTGAGTTGTTACATCACACCTCGTTAAAGGGTGTCGCTCTGTCCACTGTTATCAGGTTTGTTTTTTGGCAATGAATTTGTTACGATCAGACGAATCACCAAATATTATGTTGTTATTTGTACATAACACTTACACCACTTAATATGAAACATAGTTACTTTTTTCCGTAAGTATATGTGGCGTGGTCAGTAAGGCAAAGACACGCTAATCCTGACACTGGGCCTCGGTTTGACTGTAGCGGGCTTCTTACAAGAACGACTGTACTTCGAGGTTTGACTGCAACTTTAGCGGGCTTCTTACAAGAACAAGGTTTGACTGCTCCTAACAAGGCTTGACTGCACCTCAAGCGAGCTCCGTACAAGAACGAGGTTTGACTGCACCTCAAGCGGGCTTCGTACAAGAACAAGGTTTGACTGCACCTCAAGCGGGCTTCGTACAAGAACAAGGTTTGACTGCACCTCAAGCGAGCTCCGTACAAGAACGAGGTTTGACTGCACCTCAAGCGGGCTTCGTACAAGAACAAGGTTTGACTGCACCTCAAGCGGGCTTCGTACAAGAACGAGGTTTGACTGCACCTCAAGCGAGCTCCGTACAAGAACAAGGTTTGACTGCACCTCAAGCGGGCTTCGTACAAGAACAAGGTTTGACTGCACCTCAAGCGGGCTTCTTACAAGAATGAGGTTTGACTACTTCTTGAGCGGGACTTTGTACAAGAACGAGGTTTGACTGCACCCAACAAGGTTTGACTGCACCTCAAGCAGGCTTTTTACAAGAACAAGGTTTGACTGCCCCTCAAGCAGGCTTCGTACAAGAACAAGGTTTGACTGCACTTTGAGCGGGCTTCTTACAAGAACAAGGTTTGACTGCACCTTGAGCGGGCTTCTTACAAGAACAAGGTTTGACTGTACCTCGAGCGGGCTTCTTACAAGAACGAAGTTTGACTGCGCCTCGAGCGGGACTTCGTACAAGAATGAGGTTTGACTGCACCTAACAAGGTTTGACTGGACTTCAAGCAGGCATCTTACAAGAACAAGGTTTGACTGCACCTCAAGCTGGCTTCTTACAAGTACAAGGTTTGAGTGCATCTTGAGCGGGCTTCTTACAAGAATGAGGTTTGACGGCGCCTTGAGCGGGACTTCTTACAAGAACAAGGTTTGACTGCACTTTGAGCGGGCTTCTTACAAGAACAAGGTTTGACTGCACCTTGAGCGGGCTTCTTACAAGAACAAGGTTTGACTGTACCTCGAGCGGGCTTCTTACAAGAACGAAGTTTGATTGCGCCTCGAGCGGGACTTCGTACAAGAACAAGGTTTGACTGCACCTAACAAGGTTTGACTGCACTTCAAGCGGGCATCTTACAAGAACAAGGTTTGACTGCGCCTTGAGCGGGACTTCGTACAAGAACGAGGATTGACTGCACCTTACAATGTTTCACTGCACCTAACAAGGTTTGACTGCGCCTTGAGCGGGCTTCTTACAAGAACAAGGTTTGACTGTACCTCGAGCGGGCTTCTTACAAGAACGAAGTTTGATTGCGCCTCGAGCGGGACTTCGTACAAGAACAAGGTTTGACTGCACCTAACAAGGTTTGACTGCACTTCAAGCGGGCATCTTACAAGAACAAGGTTTGACTGCGCCTTGAGCGGGACTTCGTACAAGAACGAGGATTGACTGCACCTTACAATGTTTCACTGCACCTAACAAGGTTTGACTGCGCCTTGAGCGGGCTTCTTACAAGAACAAGGTTTGACTGCACCTCAAGCGGGCATCTTACAAGAACAAGGTTTGAGTGCACCTAACAAGGTTTTATTGCACCTAAAAAGGTTTGACTGCGCCTTGGGCGGGCTTCTTACAAGAACAAGGTTTGACTGCACCTCAAGCTGGCTTCTTACAAGTACAAGGTTTGAGTGCATCTTGAGCGGGCTTCTTACAAGAATGAGGATTGACTGCACCTTACAATGTTTCACTGCACCTAACAAGGTTTGACTGCGCCTTGAGCGGGCTTCTTAGAAGAACAAGGTTTGACTGCACCTCAAGCGGGCATCTTACAAGAACAAGGTTTGACTGCACCTTGAGCGGGCTTCTTACAAGAACGAGGATTGACTGCACCTTACAATGTTTCACTGCACCTAACAAGGTTTGACTGCGCCTTGAGCGGGCTTCTTACAAGAACAAGGTTTGACTGCACCTCAAGCGGGCATCTTACAAGAACAAGGTTTGACTGCACCTCGAACGGGCTTCTTACAAGAACGAGGATTGACTGCACCTTACAATGTTTCACTGCACCTAACAAGGTTTGACTGCGCCTTGAGCGGGCTTCTTACAAGAACAAGGTTTGACTGCACTTCAAGCGGGCATCTTACAAGAACAAGGTTTGACTGCACCTCGAACGGGCTTCTTACAAGAACGAGGTTTGAGTGCACCTAACAAGGTTTTATTGCACCTAATAAGGTTTGACTGCGCCTTGGGCGGGCTTCTTACAAGAACAAGGTTTGACTGCACCTCAAGCGGGCTTCTTACAAGAACAAGGTTTGACTGCACCTTGAGCGGGCTTCTTAAAAGAACAAAGTTTGACTGCACCTCAAGCGGGATTCTTACAAGAACAAGGTTTTATGGGTGTCAGATTCTTTACTGGGGACAGGCACACATGGTTTGGGAGTGAGTTTTCACTCTATCATTGTAACTGCGATCGGACATCCCTGAAATCAAGATAATTTGACTCGTAATTGAACATTTT